CACCCCACCACCAACCGAGCCCCGGGACCCCCCTCTCCCGTCGGGATCCCCCCTTTCCCGGGCCAGGAGATGACACCCTACCACCAACCGAGCCCCGGGACTCCCCTCTCCCGTCGGACTCCCCCTTTTCCCGGGCCAGGAGGTGACACCCCACCGCCAGCCGAGCCCCGGGACCCCCCTTTCCCCGCCGGGACCCCCCTCTCCCGTCGGACTCCCCCCTTTCCCGGGCCGGAGGCAGGTCCCCGCCGCCGCGGAGCCGGCCCCGACGGTCGCTGCTGGGGAGGGTCGGGGAGGCGACAGAGGGACTCTGCCGGGTGCGGGGTCCCCCGTCCCCTACACCCTTCTCCTGGGGAGCCTGAGGGGGCTGTGGCCGGGGGGAAGGGCGGCCGAGGAGGGGCATCCTCCCGCCGTGAGGAGGAGGAGGAGGAGGAGGGTGAGAGCCCTCTTTGCAGCAGGCTCACGCAGAGGTGTGGGGAGAGCCCCCCTTGGCCGGGGGGAAGGGCGGCCGAGGAGGGGCATCCTCCCGCCGGGAGGAGGAGGAGGAGGAGAGCCCTCTTTGAAGGCGGCTGCGCTCCCTCACGCAGAGGTGTGGGGAGAGCCCCCCTGGGTCCATCCTGCATCTCCAGTCAGCTCGGAGGGTCTCTCCAGATGTTTCATGGGATCCGGCCAGTTTCCCCCTTCATTTACACCCCCGTCTGAGGATGCTGAGGTGTGTGGGGGGGGCTGCTACTCGGGTTTAACTCTGATCTCACTCCACATCCTCTCTGGTTAGACCCTCGGACTGTTTTTCTGGGTGCCCGCAGCAACAGAAGGACACACTGTCCCTCTTTTACACCAAGGGCACTGTGGACATCCCCATGTGCCACCCGCAGCATCCCTGGCAGCGCTGGTGGTGGGACGGGGATTGGCTTCTCCCATCCCCTGCAGGATGGCACAACTGTCACCCCTGTCACCGCCAGGCTTACAGCGCTAATTACAATTATCAAGGATTGGCTTCTCCATCCCCTGCAGGATGGCACAGTTGTCACCCCGGCTGTAGCCAGGCTTACAGCACTAATTACAATTATCGGCCCTTTCAGTGCCTCCAATTCCTGCGTTAGCTGACCTAAAAGAAAGGGGGCAGAGCAAGATCAGCCTACACAAATCGGTAAATAGGGACAAAAGAAGCAGAAATAAGTAGATTTAGGGCAGCTGGATGTGAGAAATAACAAGATTTAGGGCAGCTGGATGTGAGAACCCGCTTCACCTGTGTGTGTCAGGGAGGGGGCCAATCCGTGGCCGGGTGTTGGTGTCAGTGTTCCCCCCCCCACCACTAGAAACAAGCTCCCCCGGGTGAAACAGCCGCAGGTGCAGGATTTGGGTCCCTTTTCCCGTGGCTGGGAGAATTTGAAGTCGCCCAGGGTACAAAGGGACAGGACAGTGCTCTTGTCTTTGGTGGCACCCTGGACCTGTCCTTTAAACACCTCCAGACGAGGATTAGCTTCACCCACCGCCCCCCTCCACCCCCAACCTCACCGAGGGCGCCTGTTTTAAATGCAGCCGAGGGGTCCAAATTCAATCAAAGCCTCGATGTTTATTTAAAGTATTGAATGGCAACAAACAGGGCCCCGTGGGCTTGGACTGCAGACAGCGAGGACATGCTTAAGTCAATTATACTTGACAAAGCTGTAATAGCTGAGGGTAAGCGGCACCCCTCGGACCCCCCGGCTCTGCGGGGCTACCGGGGCTGGCAGCCGAGGTGCCAGGGAGCCCGGCGGCATCTGCAACACAAAGGAGGCGAAATTCGGCAGCAAAATGTACAGCTGGGCTCAGCGAGCAGGGGGAAAAGGTGGCGTTTCGAGCCAAGCCTGCGGAGGAGAAACAGAAAAGCGTCCCCCCCCCTCTCGCTTTTCCTCCCTTAAAACCCTCCAGATAAATTTACGGGAAGATGCTCGTACGGGGCGCTGGGTCTGATGCCCAGGGGGGCCGGTGTCAGTGAGATTTGCTCCCGTGGGATTGAAGGGGGGATTTTTCTCCTCTTCCCGGTGGGGATGCCGAGGCGTTACGGGGTGCTTTGCCCCCCACAGCTGCCCCAGCTCTGGGTCCAGAGCAGCGGGGGGGGGCTGTGCCCAGAAGGGACCGGGGATTGGGATACTTTGGCTACAAAAATTTCTCCCCCCACCCTGGCCAGGGCTGGATGGGGTGACCGTGATCCCGGCTGCCCCCCCGGTCCCGGCTGGATGGATGGGGTGACCGTGATCCCGGCTGCCCCCCCGGTCCCGGTTGGATGGGGTGACCGTGATCCTCCCCGGTCCCGGCTGGATGGATGGGGTGCCCGTGATCCCGGCTGCCCCCCCGGTCCCGGTTGGATGGGGTGACCGTGATCCCGGCTGCTCCCCCCCGGTCCCGGTTGGATGGGGTGACCGTGATCCGTGATCCCGGCTGCCCCTCCGGTCCCGGTTGGATGGGGTGACCGTGATCCGTGATCCCGGCTGCCCCCCCGGTCCCGGTTGGATGGGGTGACCGTGATCCCGGCTGCCCCCCCCGGTCCCGGTTGGATGGGGTGACCGTGATCCGTGATCCCGGCTGCCCCCCCGGTCCCGGTTGGATGGGGTGACCGTGATCCGTGATCCCGGCTGCCCCCCCGGTCCCGGTTGGATGGGGTGACCGTGATCCCGGCTGCCCCCCCCTCCAGTCCCGGTTGGATGGGGTGACCGTGATCCCGGCTGCCCCCCCGGTCCCGGTTGGATGGGGTGACCGTGATCCCGGCTCCGGGGCCGCGTTGCGGGTGGGACCCCCGGGTGGGGGTGGTGGTGGTGGTGATGTGGGGAGGGGGAGAGCACCACCGCTGCCACCCCACGGTTTGGGGGGGGGTCCGGGTGGCGGGGCTACAGGGGCAAGCGCTTTGCCTGGGGGCGGGCTGCCGGGCTGCCGGAGCGAAGAGAGGAGCCCTCGCTCTTTTTTGGTTCCCTTCCAAGCGTTTTTAGCAGAGGAAGGATGTAATAACATGCCACGGGCAATAAATCATAGGCTAGCTACTCCCCCCCCGGCTCCCCTCCCCCAGCCCCGGCGGTCCCGGCCCCTCTATAGAGGGAGGGGAGGAGGGGACTCCGGCAGAGCAGCCAGAGCCGCCGGGACGAGCACTCCAGCGCTTGCCCCGCTCCCCACCAGTCGCCCCCAGTATGGACCTCCGAGCCCTGGCTCTGCTCGCCTTCGCCTTGGCCATCGTCTCCCTCTCGGAGGGTAAGTGCTCGCCGTCGCTCTCCCTTTGCCCCCTCGCCCCTCTCCTGCCCTTTCCTCCGGGGTCCCTCCGACATCCCCCCTCCCCGCTTCTCCCCGCAGCTCGCCTGCTCTCCCGGCTGTGGCTACTGCCGTGGCTCAGATGGCGAGCTCCGGGCGGGAGCTGGGGTGAGCTGGGAGCGGGGCAGGCTCTCCCTCTTTTCCTCCCTCCCTGTTTTTTTGCAAAAGAAGCCTGGTCCTCCTTGCCAAGCTTGTCCCAGCTTGAGATGGGCTGGGGGAAGCCTTGCAACAGCGCTGGGGCTGCGGGGAGGCGGTTTGGTTGCAAAAATATGCATATCGGCTTCCCCTTTAAAAAAAAAACAAAAAAAACCAAAAAACTCTTAAAAGTTAGAAGAAATGAGAACCAGACGGTTGTTCGGTTGCTCTTCTGTCCCCTGTCGCGGTCTGTCTCCCCTGGATCGGGGGATGAGCTGAGCCGAAGCGGTGGCTGGGCAGGAATTCACCGCACCCCCGGCGAGGGTGCACGGCGAGGTTTTGGGGGGAAAATGCGGGGGTTGCGGTGAGGAGAGGTGTGGGGCGATGCGGGCTGGCAACCGGCAGGCGTTTGTCGCCAAGGCAAGGGACACGGCGGTTCTCCTGCCCGCAGCGCCGTCCCACCGCCCCACGCCGGGTCCCGCTTGTCCCCCCCCCGGTTTGTTGCCAACCGGCCCGTTTGCTCGCCAACCGCTCGCCGGGTGCGGACAAAGCCCCGCACCCCGCCGTAACCTGCCCCGCATCCCGCGGGGACCGAGGGGGGCAGCCGCCTTCCCCACGCGTGGCGGGATGCGGGGGTGCGGGTCCTGCCCGCAGCCTCCGGGCATCTCCCGAGCGCTCCTCCTGCAGCTGAGATTTGTCACCTTTTGTCCCCCCATCGAAAGCTTGCTGGCGGGGTAACGAGCCGCCCTTTTCAATCCTTCCCTTCTATCTCCTTCTCCCATCCCGGCCACCGAAACCGGGGTGTTCTCCCCCCGGGGCGGCAGAGGATGCCCTCCGGTGCCCTCTTTGTTTAGCTGGGGAGAGATAATTGCTCCCGATAATTTCCCCCGACGCCTTTCCACAGGACTGTCCGTCCCAGCAGCAAATCCCGGCGAAGGACACTTTAAAAAGCCACCGCGGAGCGGTGGGGTGGGGAAGGCAAACCCCGGGGACAAGGGGGCCGGTGCCCGGCTACCCCGGGGGGGTCCCCTCGCCCCCCAGTGTGGGTCTGGGGCCAGCTGGGGAGGGCTGCCGGTCCCTACCGGGGCTGCAACCCGGAGGGGAGGTGCGGAGAGTGGGGGACCGGGGACAACCGGGGGTTCAGGGGGTCCCCATCTCCTCACCTTCCCGCTTAGCGCAGGGTGGGGGGCTGGCAGAGCCCCCCTCGCTTTGCTCCCTGGCTGGCAGAGCTCCTCAGCCGGCAGCAAAAGGCAGTGGGCATCTTCAGCCTGTCCAGGACCTGGCTACTTGTGTAAGGAAATGGCTTAAAAGGGTTGGAGAAAAACTAGCATAAGGAGAAAAACCCCATCGGCTTGTAGTGATAAGAAGGAAGGGTTTTTTCCCTACTTTTTTGCATGTATGTAGTGCTCTCAATGCTGATCCACATCAGGGTTTGCAGGACTACCTTGTCCTGGAGGGCAGGGGAGCTTTGAGTTCTTCCCAGCCCCCTGGTGAAGGTGTCACAGCCCCTGTCACAGCCTCGCTCCCCAGGGAATGCAGCTGCTATAGCCTTAAAAAGTTGCCTCCTGATATTGGCAAATGCACCTTTGGATGAACAGGAGTAAAATGATGCTGTCATCAAGTATTTTCTCTGTTTGTGACCAGCCTGCTTGCCTGGGTACAGCCTCCTCCTCTGTTGGAGTGCCCAGAGCTCCCCAGCCCACATATAGCAAGTTACTGGTAACTCACTTGTTCCCTTACTGGCCAGTTCCAGGGCGGATGAGACAAGGCAGACTCCTGGGGGGTGAAACAGGCACTGTCCGACCTTGATAAGTCCCTCTGCGAGGGAGATTTTGTGGGTGCTCTGTCTCTAGAGACAATATGCCAGCAGAAGCGGGTGTTCAGAGCCAGCAAAAATCAGCTTTGAGGCAGAAAATGGTGTAACTATTTATTATTTAAACCCCCCCCCCCGCCAACAAACCAAGAACCCTTCTAGTCGAGACCAAAAGAGGTGTTTGGTTTTTATTTTAGTCCAAGGAAATAAGGCAGAAGGAATGACACTGAGACGTCTGAGCTGTGTCTGGCTTTTCTGTGACTTTTGATTGTATTCAACCGTTTTAACCAAATGTGCCGGATAAAGGTCTCAAAAGCTTTGTGTATGATCTGTTTCATGAAAATTGCTGTTTCTGTGTAACAGTGCAATTAACGGACTGTACTGATTTGTCCTACCAAGAGAATGGCTTTGGCTTGTGCTCAGTGTTTATTAGACATCAGAGAACCCAGGGCGCATTCACTTCTGCAGTGCAAACCTGCAGAATAATTGGCTAAATCAGCTGTACCGTGCAAGGAACAATTTGTTTTGAATTTTGAAATGAGATAAGGAAGATGTGTTTGTCAGCCGCGGGGTGAGAGCGGAGATTTTCCATCCCCTGGTTGTGGCCCCTTCCCCCTCCTCCTTCGGGATGACAGGGGTTCGTGTGTTGGGAAATGCCACGTGCACTGTTTTTCCCTGGTTTTCAGCCTTTCTGAGAGCGGGGAGGGCCACAGCCAAGCCGTCGGAGCCAGAGGGCTGGAGGGGCAGGAGATGATGGTTCCCAGTTAGTGATGCTTAGAGTTGACCCAGTGTCTGTCCTGTCTCTCCGGGTGCTCAGTGCCTGTTGCAGGTCCCCAAGTGAGGGACACAGAAGCACCAAAGGGATTCCTGTGCTGGGAGGGGAGCTGTGATTCCCCCTTGCACTGGGGTGACAGAAGAAGTGGGGCTTCCCCTCTTCCTTGCTGTGCTGACTGCACTTTCCAGGGCAGGAAACAAATTTTGGGACGCGTGGACACGGTTAAACTTTCTCTGCTCCTGATTGAGAGCAGGATGGGATAGAAAATCCCTCTCCCAGTCCCAGGGAGGACAGGATTGTGCTCTCAAACCTTAGACCTGAACAGTTCCTCTCTTGCATGTTGCTTGGGGAAAGCTTGCTTAAACTTGGTTGGTACAAGCTTGTAGAGACACTTCCACTTGTGCTCGGTGGTGTTGTACGACTGCATTCAGTTTCAGCCTCCTTTTCCAGTCCGAGCTCACTGGTGTGTAGCTGTCAGAGGGCACAGATCTGCAGTGGGAAAGCCTTTCTCCCTCCCTTCCACGTTGGCACTGGTCGGTCTAGTGCATGTTCGGGAGGTTCACCCTGCAGCTCCCCTCCCTCCTCCCCCTGCAGATGGGAGCTTCTCCTCCCATTTATTAACACGGAGATGATATCACTGCTTGGTCTGGCATAAAACTGGTAGAAAGAGTCCCCCAATTCTATTAACTTACAGTCCAGGTCCTGGTGGGACTCTGGAGGAGCTCTGCTCCCACTGGTGAATTCCTCTCTGTTCCCCTGTGGGGTCTGATTCTGGCTCATCCCTTGGTGGAGGCACCTGAGGGGGGAAAAAAAGGCATTTCCCTCCTGAGGACGGGGTAATTTCAGCGTCTTGTCTGTGATTGTATGTGCTAGAGACAGTCACTGGTAAGTGTGCAGTATGTGCAGATCAGCTGCACTTTGAAATGCTCTCTCTTTTCTCACCTTCCTAGATGGGATTCCAAGCTTTTCCCTGCTCTTTAGCTCTCCATCTGCCTTTAAGGGAGCTGGGTTTGTACGCTGGGAGTGCTCCTCTGTGGCTAAATAAGCAGGGCTGCAGGTTTTCATGTGGCATCTAAAGCCCTGTCAGGTACAGATCAGACCATCTACAGCGTGAGCCAGACCTTATGGGTTAAGGGTATGAATTTAATTCCTCCCAGAGGCTGAAAACTGCTCCAATAGAGGGAAAATGCTAGGCAGTGCCTTCTAGACTTCGAGGCACAGCTTCTGTGTTTGTATTTTGGTGTGCGTGGGGCTTTAAAGCTCACACACAGAGTGAGGACCTCATTTATGGAGCGCTTGGTTGCCAGTAATTAAATTTTTCCGTGGAGAAATCAGCATCAGGTGAGAGCCGGGCTGCGTTTCTCAGTTCTATATGCATATTAATTGCTGATTTTTAGCCTGGGCGGGGGGGGGGCTCAACTTAATTCTGTCCCTAGCGATGCCAGTGACAAAACTCTCCTCCAGTCTGGTGGTCCCTGATTAGTGTGTGTGGGGGGAACACGGTGCCTGATAAATATCTCCTGGATCGCCCTTCCTTCGCCACAGCCTGGGAGTTGAAAAGACTCCAAATCTCTCCCCAAAACCCCTGTGATCTCGCACCTTCTCATGCGAATATCTGGGCTGGGAGGAAAGGTTGGCTGCGGTGGGGAGAGGTCAGCTGCTGGGCCCTGGGAAAGCCTGAAAAACTCGGTGGTTTTTTATTTTTTCTCTAGCCAGTAAGTCCCCCCTGAAAAGGCTGCACCTGAGCCCAGAGCCGTTTTGATCCCAAGCCTTTGGAATTCATCGCTTTCTTCTGGGCTACCTTCTAATTTGGCCCCGGGTCAAAATCATTTGGCAAGAACAACACCGAGGACAAGTGCCCCCTCTTTTGGCCTTTATCTTGTCTAATTACCAGGAGCATCCCCGCACAAAGGAGCGGCTCCTTATTCTAATCTCCTCTTCTTTACTTATCGCCGTTTTTTCTCTCCCTCTTCTTTTTTTTTTTTTTGTCTTCTGAAATCCCACGCACCGGGGTTGAAAGGCTGGGTACTGGGCTGAAAGGATTGTGCTCTGAGCTGGGGGCAAATGCTCTCCCAAAGCTTCAGCTTTTCTATTGCCTTTTTTCTTTTTTTTTTTTTTTTTTTTTTTTTTTAAAAAAAAAAAAAAAAAAAAAAAAAAAAAAAAAAAAAAAAAAAAAAAAGTTCTAGGAAAAATATTAAACCC